CATAGTGAGTTTGTTATCTTAGTTGATTTTTGTAATTGTCAGACTAAATTTTGGTACTCTTCTTATTACTGCTTTACTCAGGTTAAGTGAAATTGTTTTTTTTTTTTTTGGATGAAAATAGTGGGCTTTAGCTGATTGATAACAAAAAGAAGTTCAAGCTTTACAAAATCTCAAATTGAAGCCCAGCTGATAAGCCAAGAATTTTGGATTTTTTTTTTTATATTCTTTACTATTTTTAATTTCCCCTTAGCATTTTTTTTTTCTGTTTCTATAATACTTTTCCCTGAGTTGATTAATCTTTGGTAGTAAATTTTGAACAGAGAAAATTCGACAATACATTATATATTGTTATCTTTATTTATTTATTTATTTTATCATTTTAATGTTCTTCAGAGAGGAAAAGGAACTTGTGTGCTTTAAATGAAAACATATAATGAAGAAAAGAGCTGGATACTTGAGAAAAATAAACAAAAGTTAGGTTTCTGGTTTCTGCCTTCAAATCTGATTCAAAGAAACATTGTTGAACTGCCTTCAAATTGTTTTTTCCGAGAGAGAGAGTGAGAGAGAGAGAGAAAAATTAAGTTTTGAAGCAAATAAAGAAAAATTGTTGAACTTATCCAAATGTATGGGTCTTATTTTTTTACTTTTAATTAATAACATTTTGACTAATATAGTTATTTAATTAAAAAATATATTAAGTAAGAGTAAAAATAAAAGTCCAGACTCATGTATTTTAAAAGGTATTTCTCTTATTTTTTTGGCAACCAATAAGCTCATTTAAATATTGGTCCAGTATTCTAATATTTCGAGCCAACTTGAATGACATTTTTTTTATTGAAAATACCAAATAACAACATAGATCAGAAGCTTCCAAATAAAATCTGAAAAAGAATTAACAATTTTCGGACCGAAATCACCGATTTATAAAATGTGGAACATATATATTCGTGCTGTAAAGCTCTCTTGTTTGTTTTTAAGTAGAGTTCCCAACATATTCCAAACGCGGGGATAGCTCAGTTGGGAGAGCGTCAGACTGAAGATCTGAAGGTCGCGTGTTCGATCCACGCTCACCGCATGATCTTTTATTTATGCAGCGTCGTTTTAAGTACTTTGTTCCAACATCATCTTCTTTCTGTGTACTTTTTTCTTTCCCTCTCTCACTTCTCGTATCTTATATTTTTACGACCAGTTCTATGAGTAAAACGTTACCTATATTTTTTATCACATTAAAACGTTATTTTTATTTTAAAAAAAAATATTTTTTACACATTGAGACTGATTTTTGAGATATATAAGGTCTAAATTGCCTTTTTATTAAATATAAATAGAAACTAAGCTATTTAAAATTATTTTATGAAAAAATTTTAATTTATTTTGATTGTTTACTTTTAAATGTTTTAAAGCATTTTCAGAATTTTTTTTTTAAATTATTAGTTTAATTTTAATTAGTCATAATGGTAAAATGAATATTTTATTTTTCAAAAATCGGTCACGTATTGTTTTAATCTATTTATACATATCGATAATCTATAACTTACATAAAAAAAAAAAAGTCAAAACTTTTTGTTCATCTCTCTTTCTCTGTTAGCTACTTGTCAACTCCCACATTTTTGTGTTTTATTTTATTTTATTTTTTCTAATTCTTTCCTTTTTACTTATTTCTCTTGAAACTCTTCCACATTTTATTTACTAAAGCATTTTTTTTGGAATATTTTTTCATGCATTACTCAAATAATTTCTTTGAAACATTTACTTACTCAATTTTTTTTTCATTTTTATTAAAATCACCTTTGCATTGTAATTATTTTCTAGGTACAACTTATAGTAGGACATGTATTTTTATTCCTTTAATAGAAACTAATATTTTAGCCATTAGATTAGCTTGTCAATGGTTTTATTTGGAGCGGAAGTAATTTTGTATTACCTGTTGTAAACTTTTAATTTAATTTATAATCTATAATTTATATATAATAATTTATTAATTGACTATTAAAAGAATCAAGTGCTATTTCTCTCAGGGATGTCATGTGACAACGCCTTTCCCTTCCTTTTTTTTCTTGTCCACTTTTTTAAGCTTTTCATGTTATTTTTTAAATGTCTTGTTTTTTTCATTTTTAAATTTTGTGAATTTTTTGCAATTTAATTTGTTGTATTTTTACGCATGATCAAATTTATAAAGTTATTCTTTATGTGCATAGGACGCACTTTAATTAGTACATACTTAAAATAGCCAAAAACTTGACTTCTAAAAGGGCCCTATATTAGCTTCTATGGAGGCCACATGTTGGCCTCTTCTTTCTTTCTTTTTAAATTTTTTTAAAACTTTCTCTCTTTTTCCATTTTTAGACTTTTTTTTTCTCTCTTTTTTTACCTATTGTCTTTTTTTTCCCAACATTCTTTGGCAGCTTATTCTTTTTTTTTATCCTTCTTTAAAATATTTTTTTTCTCATTTTCTTTTCATTAAAATAATTCATTTCAATTTTAATTATATTCCTACTTAAGTTTTTTTTTTCTCTCAAAAGACTCTTATACAACTTAGAGGACGTTTGGTTTATGTATTCAGAATCATAATTTAGAACCATTCTCATTTTACGTGTATTTTTTATGAGAGAAAACACTGTATAGAACCATGAATCATGATTTAGAATCAGAGATGAATATAAGAAACAAACATCATCTTAGATTAATGAGATTTTTTAAAATACTTTTTTTTCGTCTCTCTCTAATTTTACTAATTGACACACACCCCCGTGCACACACGCATATTTAACCAAAATACATGTTTTGACTGTAACGTACATTTCAACCCATTTGCTTTTTTAATTATATATATATATATATTTTTATGTTAGATAAGTCTTGTTAAACTTTTTTTTTCCAATCTACTCTTATTAAAATAATTTTTCTGAAAACTTAAATATCATTTTTAAGTTTCCTCTTTTTTTTTTTTTTTTGTCTATTTTTCTTATTGCACCCCCACCACCTTCTAGTAGTACAATTTTTTTATTTCTTTAATTTTTTGTTTCTTGCCATTTATGCCAATTCACTAAGGATGAATGTGTTTTTAAAATAGGGAAGGACAAAACATAGAGAATGTTTTATTTATCTTTTTATAAAAAAAATCTTATATATAACATGACTTATTAAAATACTTTTATCTAATTTAACGATGTCAAAATATCTTCTTACTTACTCCTTTTTTTTCAACGACACGTACTATTATTTATCTCATAAATACGAAACATGTTATTTATCTATATTGATATTATTTCTCTCGCATCTCCTCACTCAAATTTTTTTTTTTCACACTCACACACACTTACACACACATACACGTATTTAATTGAAATGTATGTTTTAATTGAAAAGTGCATTTTAATCCTTTTTTTTCATTTTAAATCTTGTATTTTCTAATTGTGCCTTATTAAACTTTACCCCTTAATATGCTCTTATTTAAATAATTTTAAAGATGTGTTTACCTAAATATTTTTGTTGTTAATATTTCTTGTTTTCAAATGTAAGTGTTTAAAAAAATATAACATATTGAATACTCACGCGCTCTACGCACATTTCAACTAGTACATAATAAAAAAAATCAAAGCCCTTTTCTCTCATGTAGCAGCATGAGAGAAGAGAGATTTGGCTCTTTTTATTACTCTTTTTTTTTCTTTTTTGAATCTTTATTTGGCTTTCTTTTTGTGCTTTTTAGTCAGTTTTTAAGTGTTAGATATGGTCAAAATAAAAAAGAGCTTTTTTAATACTTTTTTCCCCTTTTTTTAATCTTTATTTGACACTCTTTTTTTGTTTTCTTTTTTTAGGGCTTTCTTTTATAGGGCTTCTTTATCGTTGGGTCAATTTCTAATCGTTAGATATGATCAAAATAAAAAGAGCCTTCTTAATACTTTTTAATCTTTATTTGACACTCTTTTTTTGTTTTCTTTTTTTAGGGCTTCTTTATCGTTGGGTCAATTTCTAATCGTTAGATATGATCAAAATAAAAAGAGCCTTCTTAATACTTTTTTTTTCCCCATATATTTTAATTTTTATTTGGCTTTTTTTGTTTCTTTTTTTAGGACTTTTTTTTATAGGACCTCTTTATCGTTATGTTTATTTTTAATCATTAGATATGGTCAAAATAAATAGAGCCTTTTTAATACTATTTTTTTTTTCTTATTTTTCAAAATCTTTATTTGGCATTCTTTTTGTGTTTTTTTTAGAGTTTCTCTAGTTGGACCTCTTCATTGTGAGAGTTAGTTTCTAACTGTTAGATATGATCAAAATAAAAAAGTATTTTCTATCTAATCCAATCTAATAAACATAAAAGAGTTAAAACTCTTTTTTATAGGCTACTACATTGCAACCCCTCCTTTTACCTCCCTTCTTCTCTTTTTATTTATTTATTTATTTACTTTTTTATCTCTATTTTTATTTTAAATTTTTTTATTTTTTATTTTTTTTCACATTTCAATTTTTTGTGTGTTTTTTAAATATATTTTTCTCACTTTATTCCTAAGTAATTTTTTAGCATGTGTCCCTATTTTATTTTATATTAATAATTAAAATATTTTTTTCAAATATATCTCTACTAATTATTTTCTGTATAATTTTTATAATATCAAAAATTATCTTTATACATATTTTTCCTTAAAAAATAACTTTAAAAAATATTAAATGATTGTATAAATAATTTTTTTGTTATTTAATAAATAATAAATTTTGTAAACATCTTTAACACGATAATACGTACAACGTTAAGAAATTAGTATTATTAAAACACAAAGTAACAATAAGATATTTAGCTGGAAGGTACTAAAATTATGTTATCCCATAAACAAATGTGCTCATTTCATTTCATTTCAGGAAAAAATAAATAAATAAAACAATTAAAACAACAAATGTGTAAGCCAAAGTCGAAACTGGGTCCTCGAATCACACGTGGTAGAAAACCATAGGATAAAGCGGATGCATATCCAGTTCAAAGAAAGTGAAAGATTGCTCTCCCTCTCTCTCTCTCTCTCTCTCTCTCTCGAAAAGGCTGAAAAATATAACACCGAAAAATCTCTTTCGTTTTACTTATCATTAATCCACCAACGATGAAATCTTCAGATTGTCCTAAACCAGTACTATAGATATCCCCAAACTCCCATGTATGCCATGACAACGTATCTTCAAATCAACATCAATTTCTCAGCTTGCAAGTTGAGAACTTTGCATGGCGAAACTTACAAAAAACCCATTACTCTTAGAGCAGAATTGGGTACTATTTTACATCAGAAGAGAAAGTTTAAATTTAGAGTTTACAGAGAGAGATGGTCGTTCTCGGGAGAAGATAGGGAAGATGGGATTTTGCTGAAAGGTGAGAGGAAGAAGAAGAAGAGGTTGGTGTTGGTGAGGTTTAATCAGGGCTTTGGTTTTAATGGCGGCGGCGGCGGCGGTGGTGGTGGGAGAGATGATGGTGCTACAGCAAGGGTTCTGGGTAATCTTGCTTTGGCTATTGGATTGACTTATCTCTCCATGACTGGTCAGCTTGGTTGGCTTTTGGATGCAATTGTTTCCATTTGGGTACTCTCTCTCTCTCTCTCTATCTCTCTCTCTCTCTCTCATACCTTGTTTTCCTTCCATATCGTGTTTGAAATTGTGGGGTTTTAGGTGAAAAAAGAAAAAATGGAAAATTTGTGGGCTTTTTTTTTTTTTTTTTGTGGGTTGCAATTGTTGTCTCGTGAAATTATCTTTATTGTGATTTTTCAATCAAAGCGAGTGCTCTCTCTCTCATTACCTTGTTTTCCTTCCATATCGTGTTTGAAATTGGGGTTTTAGGTGAAAAAAGAAAAATTGGAAAATTTGTGGGCTTTTTTATTTTTTATTTTTTATTTTTTTTGTGGGTTGCAATTGTTGTGTCTCTTGAAATTATCTTTATTGTGATTTTTCAATCAAAGCGAGTGTTTGGGTGGATTTTATTATTATTATTATTATTATTATTATTTATTATTATTATTTTTTAAGGATTTCCTCATTCGGATTCTTGAAGTTATAATACTAATTGTGCGCTTTTTAAAGGGTTGCAATTGTTATATGTGTGATGAAATTTTCTTATTATGAAGGCCCTCTTTTATGGTCTCTGATTTTGACATTGGTTTTTCGGTATCTCAAGCGATTGATGATTTTCCTCATCCAGCTTCTTGCAGTTATAATACCAATTCTGGGCTTTTGTATTTATTTATTTATTACGGTCTATGTGATTTTGATGCCAAAGTGTGCTTGTAATTTTAGTGGTTGATGATATTCTTCGAATTTTATTGCGTAGACACCGCATCATAGGCCTCGTTCGCTTCGCAGATTCGAGTTTTCAATTCGAGCTGAGATGTGACATTTTCTGAGAGCTTTTAACTGTAACAGAAAAAGTTAGATGTGACATTTTCTGAGAGCTTTTTACTGTAGAAACTTAAAATTGAAAACTCGAATCGGTAAAATGAACGAGACCTTAGTAATTCACCCTTTAAATTTTAAAATTTATTGTATTATTAGTCAAATTAAAAATAAAGTTAAAAATTTAGACGGTACGTTGCACGTTAGTGTTTAATAAATATAATTCTAATCTTTTTATATCGATTGTATATACGTAATGAATGAATTTTTTTTGAAATTGTGGGACCCCAAATTTTCTCCCAAAACGGTTAACTCCCAATTTCAAAAAAAATTTCGCTCGTGATGTGTATATGAGGATCAATTCGATGTAAAAAAATATTAATCATCCTCGTTAAACACTTACGTGGAAAATACCGTCAAAATTTTTAATTTCGTTTTTAATTTTATTAATATTGCAACAAATTTCAAAGTTTATAAGGTGAATTATCAAGAAAAAAAGTTAAGAGACCAATTTACTAAACTCAAGTTGAGCAGTTGTCCATGCAAAATAACCATTTTCTTCTCATTCAGCTTCTTGCAGTTATAATACCAATAGTTGGTTTGGGTGCTTTTCTCTGGTGGGCTGGACGTGATATAGTTCAAGACAGTGTAAGGATTCCTTTTAAACTTTTTGCTTCTTTGTGCAATGCTTAAGCTCTTTTATTGAACCTTTTGTTTGTGATCAAATAAAAGGTTTGTATTGCATCATGAATAAGGCTAATTATCCAACTTTTCAATTCCAATTGACGGTCTATATATGCGTGTGTCTATATATGTATGTGTGTGTATATATATATATATATTGATAGGCGTTTAAAATGTTTGTCATGTTAACTAATATTACAAGTTGCATCTACCGATAAAAAGATGAAAACTCATCTGCAAACATTAGTTGGTATGAAATTTCGGGATCCTTGACACTACTCTTGCATCATAAACTAGACCGCAATAAGTTTGTGCGTTCTTAATCCATCTTCTCCCGAGTTAACGGTTTATTTTTAATGGGGTATATGTGCAGTGCCCAAATTGTGGAAATGATTTTCAGATTCTTAAGTAAGTCTAGTCTGCAACATTTTCATATTTTTGAAACTTATTTTTTCTTTTGAATCTCCTTTTCATGATGAAACTCAGTTGGATCATTTGCATTCTTTTTCAGATCTACTATGAACGATGATTTGCAGCTGTGTCCTTTCTGCAGTCAACCTTTCTCTGGTAAGAGCCAATTCAACAAAATTGTTTCGTGCACTGGAAATTGCCATTTCATAGACTGTTCATATACTTTGTTAATTTGCGATTTTTTTGGGTGACAAAATCATTTCTGGCCTGTTATGGTCACTAAACTTTTAAATGCACCATTCAAGTCTTCCGATTAATATCTTGCTATGAAACACCATCATTGTTTACACCTTTATGGTATCGTATCTTTGTTCAAGGCTTTATTACTGCGATCATAAGTGGAATTGGAAATTCCTAACCAATCTCATGTTCAAGTACTTTTACATTTGAATGTGTTTGCTTTGCCATCTTCGAATAAGGGGGGAAAGAATAAATCGGCATTCTTCTTATTTCTTGGAATTTCTTATATTTTCTTTTTTTCAGTGGTTGATAATAAGTTTGTAAGGGACTCTGTGAAATTCTCCAACCAGTCGACAACGTTTGCAGAGGCATTCAATGAATTCGCTCGTTCTAGAAAAGGTTATCCGGCTACTTTCATATTTCTTGCTCATCTGCAATTTTGCATGGTTTAACATGCAGTTCTCTTTCCTTTTGCTAATGAATAACATTGATTTTCCTCAACCTCATATTGTCTGCCCTTGTTATAGGAAAGGAAACTTCTGCGGCAGTTGTTGATGTTGAAGCAGAGATAAAAGATGCAGACTGAGAGTTCTTGCTCTAACCACCAGGTATGCTATAATGTCCTTAACGTGTATAAGGAATTAAAGGAGTCGTGTGGTAAGCACAGAGTGAACTATTCTCGCGCTTTTTAGTTTTTACTGAAAAATACAGCATGCTGCCGCATAGTGGCATACTCAAACGTGTATAAGGGAGTACTAATTTCATATTTGGTATTGTTTTATCCTTCTCTCAATATTCAAATTTGTCTTCGATATAAGTGACCAAAAACTGGTTATGAAATTATGTTCTTTTATCCAATGCGCCTAGTTGCCTTTGTCTAATATAATGGCTCTCTTATTTTTCTTTTTCTTTTCCTTATTTTTTTTTTCTCAGCCATCGTTAAACTAAATACTTCTGAGTCCAAGATGGATGCTTGAGTATTCTATGTAAAATTGAACCGCAGATGCGCCCAGCGGAAAAGAACCGTTGAGCCGGAGCAGAATGGTTTCAAGAGTGGGATTAAAGCTAAATGTTCGGAGTTTTTGACAGAAGATTTCTCAGTTGTTGTACCTACCTTACATATCATTTGTCAAACGCAAAAGGCTCTTTATAGTATTCCTAGATGGTGTATTCTTTTGTATAATGTAGAGCTTGTAGGCATCCCGTGATATACCAGAAACGTATAAAAATTGTCAATAAAGATGTTCTTGGTTATACATGTGACGGAACTCGCGGGCAATTGCCGATGAATTTAATTTTTTCTAGCGTCTACCTATGGATCTTTGACGATTAGGAGTCTGAGGCGGAACGAGAAGAAAGAAGGAAGGATTCACCCCGCGTGTTCGCCAACAGGATAGTACGAATTCTTCCAGATGAAAGAAGAGACGACAGAGGAACAGTTCTGATCTACCGTTTGATAGAGGTGAAAAGGGAAATAAAATATTAGAGCGGGAAGCTTATAAAAAGAGAAAATTGAGTTTGTTGTTCTTTGGTAGGTGAGAAAAGAGAAGGGGGTAGAAAAGCACAGAGAGCTCAAATCAAAAGTCCTTCCATTTTGATCCACTGAAAAAAAAAAATAAAGAATATCAAAGAGAAGAATTACTACTACTTTTTCGATTAAAAAAATAACAGAGAAGTAAACACACAAAATTCAAGGACACATCAACCACACAAGGACCTCCAAGAAGTAAATTCGATTCGTAAAGTGGATTTCACAAGTGATCCTATGTAGACAATTTCGAGGACTTGCTACAACTTGCATGAAATGGAAAATTAACCATTTTTTAAAACCTTGTTTCAAACTAAAATAGTATTAATTAATTTAATAACCAAACACTGACTTCTTGCTCACCTTTAATAATCTAACAGTGGTTTTAACCCACGGGTGTGGCCCCAAGAATTGACAGCACTCAATGGGATTCAACCTAATACTTCCTGAGATCCAAGTCTAAGAGGCTGTTTGGTTAGGGGATTTGTCCACTGATTCGAATCATGGTTCGTGATTCGCTACAGTATTTTCTCTCATAAAAAACACACGTAAATCGAAAATAGTTATAATCTCATAGTTCTAATCCATGAACTAAACGTCTTCCAAGTGATTCACCACTGAGCCAATTCCTTAGTTATCAAGGGCTTGTTTGGTAAGTATATTTGAACCATGATTTGAGTTATACTACAGTATTTCTTATCTCACAGAGAATTTAAATTCAAAAATTTCTTCTCACACAAAATTTTCGCTCAAACAAAAGAACAAGTTGCATTGAGCATGGAACCATTGGAAGAAACAATTGAGAAAAGAAATAGATATCACGTATTAATAAACCCATTATTCTAATTTCTAACCGAGTCATTTACAACTGGATTCATTCAAAGCTAACTTGTCGCTGAACAAAGAAAAGCACTCTTTTAGCAGTTCTGAAGCCAAGCGAGCGGGCAATATAGTTGCTTCTGTGGGAACAACCTCCAGACTAGTGCGATGATTCTCCAACATTCTGCAAGAAAATAGGTAGATTAGAGCTAGAAGCCTGGAGAGAAGTTTTTCATACATTTTTTGGCAATTTCTATGATTAATACGAAGGAAAGCAAAACAACAAAAAGTATTCTTGGAATTTAGGTCCATGAAGAATGACATGGTGTATTCATATATAGTTTTTGATGCTCGTGTAAAACTCGATTTAGGTATAGCACAAGATAAACAGTGGAAGATTCTGCAAAAGCCATCACTAACTAACCATGTGCAACATTATCTCATATTACTTCCAGAAAAGGGGGAAAACATATTAATAATGAGAAGAATTCTATGACAGTGTGAAGAAAAACACTCGGTATAGAACACAATTCAAAACCTTAGATCACATAAAAAACTTGACAATTTAACAATATTGACTATTCATAATTGTGCTACACAATTTAACAATGTTAACTATCAAAATATTAACTATCCATTGTTTGATTTTCAATAATAATAATAAGCATAATTGTGCTCTACTGATGGAGTATTTTCTCATATCCTACCACAAAATTCTAATAAATTTATCTTAATGATAATTAGTAGGAGAATTTTGTGACAGAGCTACTAGAATATGAAAAGCCCTATTAGTAAAGTACAACTTTAACCATTAGATCATCATCAAACATTAAATTATTTTTTGTAAGGACATAAAAAATAAACCATCAGAAGGTCTCTATCTTTTAACAACCGGCTTCTGATATTTCTGTTCTTGATACTTTTCATATTGATGTGATTTTGACCAAATACAAGGCCCTACAGTAGGACCCTATTATATATTTAGCTTAATGTAATTTGACAATATCGTGTCCTACTATTCTTTATATCCTAGTAACCCTAGCACAAAATTCTCCTAATTAATATGCAGAAGGAAACAAATCCTTGGTAAGATGTAAGATGCCGAATTTGATAGGAAAATTCTTTGCTAGGACGTGAAAAAGTACCCTATCAGTAGAACACAGTTTTTAACCATCAAATCTTCCATAGATTCAATTAAATTGTGATACTTTATTTAATTTCATATGGTTCTGATTTGATTTATGTGTCCCACTGATAGGATATTTTTTCATACCTCGCCATATAATTCTCCCACTCGATAAAAACACATAGGAGCTTGTTATGGTAGGATATCTCAATCGGTAAAGCATGTTTCTAAATGTTAAACCTAGTCAACATAACATCATAATGAAAGCGTATGTCAAACTAACAAAACTAATACAAAGATGACAATTTAACACAGAGCAAAGTTCTACTTATATCGTATTTTTATTTTTATTTTTATTTTTATTTTTTCCCCTCAAAACTCATAAAGGTAAAACAAACTACCTCTTCTTTCTTGTCCTTCTTGCCTCTGGTTAAAAATTTGTAACCCCCATAGAAAGCCAATCCCCAACCAGTCAAAGAGACTATCACGAACTGCAAATGAAAAAACACCAATTTAGCATAGCACAGTGAATAATTAACTATCTTCAATTAATACTAGCGACTAGGCATCGCAAGCTATCTTTGCAATAAGGTTTAAAGAGACATTGCAGCGATAAGATATGCTCACGAAGTTCATTATTGTCTCTTTGAACTCTAACCCTCCAGTGTTTACATTATAATGAACAAACTATTGAACGACCACAACTTGATCAAAGTGTTTAACCATAAGGAACACCCGTACTACTTGTAATATGTATTTTTTTACTTCTCCCTAACATAATAGGGAAAAGAAGAGTTAATATTAACTAATTAATTAATTAATTTTATTTATTTGTAGTAGAAACAATAAGAAATGAAAGTATTTCAAGTAACAACAGTTTTGATTATTTTCTTGTGTCACTACCACATTAGTAATTATCACAACTCACAGGCCATTATTATAATCACTACAATAATCATAATATGCACAATGACTTGTGGTAATTTAACAATTATTATCATAATTACTGAAATAATTTCAATTAAAATATATTATTCAATCCTATTTTTCACTCCATTATATCCCTATTCCCCTGCACATTCAATTGTTCCATTCCATCAAACCAAACTAATAACCAAGTGTTCAGAGTACAATAAACAAACTATAACCAAACTTGATCAAGTGCATAACAATAAGAAAGCCCAGAATTTCCCTAGCATAATATATATATAATACACAATAGCAACTAATAATAATAATAGTAGCACACAAAACTTACATGTTCTTCTTTCCACCGGGATGGGCTCAATGGGTCCTCCCAAAAGTTCACCTTTGGAGGTCCATGATGATCTGCAATAAAAGAGAGAGTATTAAAAAAAAAAAAAAAAAGGCAATCAAACTCAATATTAAATCAGGCGAAAGAAAATAGCGTTCAGAGTAAAAGAAAATCCAAAGAGAAAATTCGACGGAAAACTAGGAGGATGAATAATCGTGATTACCGCCGCCACCGGCGAGACCGCGCCGATGGACGAGAGAAGTGGCTTGAGCCGTTGAAGCCGGCTTGGGAGTTGAAAGGCGAGCCAGATTCGCCGCTTGGCGCGCCGCCGCTGTCCACGCCGCCATGGTTCGGTGCTTAGAGAGAGAGAGAGAGTGACGGTGGAAGTTCAGGGAAGCTTGCGAGCTGCTAGTGAGAGGAGTTAAAAAGGCCAAAAACGAACTCGTGCCATGGTTCTCGAATGTACTTTTAAGCAACTTTTTATGGGCCAACAATTAATTTTGACTCTTAAATTGACAAATTTGACATTTAAGGTGCGTTTAATTACAGTGAAAAAATATAATAAAAATAATAATGATAATAAAAATAAAATAAAATAAAAATTAATTCATTTATTTCGTTATAATTTTAAGAATTTTTTAGAATGAAACATGAATATTTTTATATGGTAATAAAAATGAGAATGAGAATGATAATGGGAATAAAATAGAAAAAAAAATTAATTCATTTATTTCGTTGTAATTTTAAGAATTCTTTGAAATGAAATATGAATATTTTTATTATATTGTCAAACTTACCCTTATGTATAACACAAATATTTTATCTATCAATATAATATATAAAATGTAATATAATATAATAAAATTATTATTATATAATATATTATATAATTATGATATATAATATAACAATATTATTAAAATTATTAATATAATTATAATATTATAATATATAAAATGTAATA